CAGGTTGCCCAGAGAGGTGGTAGAATCCTCACTCCTGAAAACATTCAAGGTCAAGTCCAGCAGGAAGAGGTCAAGTCCAACCATTAGACCATTGAGTCCAACTGTTAAGACTGAGTCCAACCACTAGACCTTCGAGTCCAACCATTAGATCGAGTCCAACCATTAGAGTATCAAGTCCAACCACTAGACCATCGAGTCCAACTGTTAAGACTGAGTCCAACTGTTAGAGCTTTGAGTCCAACCATTAGACCATCGAGTCCAACCAATAGACCATTGAGTCCACCCATTAGACCATCGAGTCCACCCATTAGACCATCGAGTCCAACCAATAGACCATTGAGTCCACCCATTAGACCATCGAGTCCAACCATTAGACCATCAAGTCCAACCATTAGAGCATGGAGTCCAACTCTTAAAGATGACTCTGTGATTTCAGGAGAAGGGCAGACGCAGGCACCAGACCCCCAACCATCTCCCTCCTCCCACCAAGAACCATTGTCTGGTCTTTCAACCTCTACTTACAGGGAGGTTCAGCTTGACGGCATCCACGGGCTGCTGGAAAGGCCACGCAAACTGGTGCTTCCATAACGTCTTCAGCACCACCTTGAGCAGATATTGCAGCTGGTTGGTCTGTCGCTTGGGTTTGTTGGGGTTAGAGGTCTCCGGTGGAGGAGGATTCACACCTACAACGCTGCCTTGTTGGGGTTGAGCCTGTGACTGCGTCGTTGACATTTGGGTGGTTTCTAGTCCATCCCCCATGACCGGCAAATTTCTCAGTCTCGTTCCGGGGCCGCTCTCCGTCGACATGCTATTGATCCCATTGCATTCCTCACCCGACACCCTGTGGAACAAGGAGAGACGAGGTCACTTCAATCCCAGGCTTTGGGTACAAGTTGTCACCTAAAAATAACCCAGGTGGACCTCTGCTAGACTAGCTCAGGCAACCAGACCTTGAGTCTCGCTCGCTTGGTGCCAGAGTTGTGTTGCCACAACAAATGACATCAGCGTCCTGTATCCCGGGGTAAGAACGGACATTCCGAGGCCATTCCCTGCTTTGCCTCTCCACTCCTCAACGAGCGGGAGTTTTATCCCTGTTCTTGCCTAATCTGGTCAAGAAGAACTTCAACCTTCTCCATAAAGAGCCTTCGTTGCCTCTAAACGAGGTTCTTCAGCTTCAGCTCCAAGGTTGGGTTCGCCAACACCAGGAAGAGAATTTCAATTGGCGTTGGACAACTTTTAGCTCCAGTTAATCCCAATTTCATGCCAAAATTTGTCTTTTAGGTGAAGGTTGAGCTTCCGTAGGATGCTTCAGCTGAACCAGGCCGTGGACACTCACATTTAATTCACGTTATCTGGTTTTGGTTGATAATTGAGGTAGATAATAATTTTTGGTAGTTAATTTATGTAGATAGTCTTTAGTTAAAGACAATCTCTAGGTAGCTAATCCAAGTAGACAATATTTAGGTAGATAATCTGGGTATACCACCTTTAGGTATATAATCTCCAGGTAGATAATCTGGGTACACTATCTTTAGATAGATAATCTAGGTAGATAGTCTAGGTAGATAATCTAGGTAGATAATCTAGGTAGATAGTCTAGGTAGATAATCTTCAATTAGACAATCTTTACGTAGATGATCTAAATACATAATCTTTAGGTGGATAATCTTTAGGTGGATAATCTTTAGGTAGATAATCTAGAGGGACCAAGAGCCAGAGAGACAAAGCATCTGAATTATTTTACCTGCTACGTCCCTCAACCACTTCCAAATCTCCATAAAAACCTCACCCCAATTTAAACTTCTGCTTCAAGTCGGCGCTTCGTTGTTTTTACTGGCTTAAAACTGACACCGACCACCAAAACCCAAGACAATTTTGAAATAAAATTCCAAGACAATTTTGCAAAAAACTTGAAGGACATTTTTGTTTTCGACGTTACCTTGTAGGATACATTGCCATAAAATTTTGCCCCAGAAAATGATGCCGAGTCAGAAGTTGCTTGGCTTGTCCATCGATCTTCCGTGGCTCCAGGCACAAATGCCTTTGGATATCGTAGCTGAGGAAACAAAGAAAAGAATTCTTTCATTTCTAATTTTTGCCAAAGCAGCAAAAAATGATGTTGACCTCCAGAGAATTACTGATTTTTTTAAGGTATGTTAATAATTCAGCGACGCAAGAGTCGAGTGACGCCTGCGAACACGAGACAGCGACGGAAAAATGAGGAATCGACACCAGTATTTAAAGTTTTTGCAGGTATTTTGGGTAAACTTCCTGAAATTCAGCATTTCAAGGACTACGACTTGATTTCCTTCTGAAAGGAAAGAGCTCTCGCCCTAAAAGGAAGCCAAGGAGTTGTTTGGTTTTGGGTTTTTTTTTAAAGAAAAGGGAAAATATTTGATTATCTGTTTCATTTTTTCCCTTTTTCACTTAAAAGCAAAAGCTCTGAGCGCCCATCCAGGTTGTTTTATCAAATTTCTTTATCAAATTTTATCAGATTTGTCCTTCTTTAATTTCCCCTGTATTTTTTCCACCATTTTCTTGCTTTTTTTTGGAGGGACTTCACTGCTCTCCTCTTGAATTTTCAAACTTGAGTACCATTTTAAGGGATTTGCTGAAAATACACCAATTTACCCCATTTTTCATCCAAAACCCACCGCTCTGACTCTCTCCCATTAGGTTACAGCTCCTCTCTTACACTCTCACACCACCCCAGTGGCAAAATATCAGGAAAAAACCCCAGAAAATTGAATTTTTTAACAGTCTTTTGGTCTCTTGCACCGAAGCTGCCTCTTCCAATTCCAAAAAAGTGGCTTTCTTAATCTAATCTGTATTGCAGGTTAGAAATCTAATCTCTAGTAGATTATGTTAGCAGTCTGATCTGTATCACTGACTGTGCTATAGATGGTGTTACCACGTCCGGGTGCTATCTTCAGATTTTCTTAATCTGTGGATGAATGTGGTGTTAAATTTGGGTTTTTAAATGTAATCTGTATTACAGATTAGAAATTTAATCTGGATTAGATTATGTTACTAGTCTAATCTGTATTATCGACTGTGCTATAGATGATGCTACTACGTTCTGGTTTTCTTAATCTATAGATTAAAATGGTGCTACGCTCATTTCATTTTCGGAATGAAATCTGTATTATAGATTAGAAAATGTATTATGGATTAAAAATCTAATCTCCACTCGATTAGAAATCTGATCCGTAATGTTTGGGTTTTCTTAATCTAATCAATATTATAGATTACAAATCTTTAGTGTAGTTTAGAAACCTAATCTGTATTAGATTAGTTTAGAACACATGTACTAGGTTAGTTTAGAAGGTGCAATGTTCAGGTTTTCTTAGTCTACAGATTAATATGATGTTAAATTTGGGTTTTCTTAATCTGATCTAGAGTATAGATTAGAAGTGTAATCTATTATTAGAGTAGAAATCTAATTGGCATTATAGATTGTGCTACAGACGGTGCTGTGATCAAGTTTTCTTAATCTGATTTATTTTATAGCACCACCTCAATGTGTTAAGAAAATAATTAATAAAAAGAAAATAATTAATCCATAGATTTAAGTAATCTCACCTGGATTACATCAGTCTAATCTGTATTAGTGATTGAGCTATAGATAGTGCTATGTTCAGGTTTTGTTAATCTATAGGTTAAAATGGTGTTAAATTTGGGTTTTCTTAATATATATTTATTATTATATATTA